AAAATAATGAACCTTCCGGACTGGAAAAACAAAGGAATCCTATACCTGGAACACATATATGAAGGATTGGACTTCATCCCATTTAATAGAATAGTCTCCCAATTTGGAATAGATAAGAATAGCTTTTTAGAATATCACCAAATTAAATCTGTAGTCAAACAAAAATTTAAGCTCAATAAAATAGAATTACAAACACCACCAAGGGTATTAGACTTCTATAATCTCAAACCCCCCAAACTACTGTCTAAAGCAGGGGTGGGCAATTATTTTTTCCATGGGGCCACATGAGAAACAGAAAATATTGTGGAGGGCCAGGCCAAAAGGCTGAAGTCAATTATGCATAATATTAATGGTATTTCTTTATAAAAAGCAGTAAATACCATTGTTTTTTCAAGGTGGTAAGAGTAGACTATATGTTATAAATGAGCAAAAAGGAAAAAGTGAGGCTGGCTTACAAAAATGTGATTTATTCAAATTTCCCAAGGCAATGGTAAACAAAGCGTGCGTATTTGGTTTTTGTTAAACATTTGTGACTTATATTAGTTAACAGTTTCATTCACATTCACTCCAAAACACATTTTGAGTTTCAAATATTGGAAAGAGGTTCTTAGCATTCTACAGACACACAGTATTGTCTGTAAAATAAAATCACTGAACTGTGATCTTGAGAAAGAAGTTTAAAAAAAAGTGTCCCAGTTCACTGCTAATTGCCTACATTTGTGGTCCAAACACCTTATTTTGTGTTTTTAAGCGATTTTTTTCTTATTCAGTGAGAGAAATCTAGTCTCTGCTGGGCTTTAACGAGTGCATCAGAGTCAGGTTGAATGTCTGAGGTGGAGATGCGAAGCACAGCTGACAAATGATCATTAGTGAGAGAGGATTTATACCTGGATTTTGTAAACTTAATCATTGAAAATGCTTGTTCACAAATGTAGGTAGAGCCGAAGAGAACCACCATCTTCTGAGCATATCTCCTCAGGTTTGGAAAGTTCTCCTCCTTAAGAGAAGAGTAGAAATCCAGCAGCTATCCTGACTTAAAGTGCTCTGCCAGTACTGCATCAGACTGCAGGTCAATGAGTTCCAGCTGCACATCACTGGGTGCGTTATCCACACTGCAGGTAAAGGGAGAGGAAATCATGTGCATTTCATCCTCAATTGTTCTGAGATCTTCAAAACGCCTTGAAAACTCACCATGTAATGCTCCTAACATGGATGAGTACCTGCTGAGGTGATCAGCTGATGGTGTGACTTCGTTCAGGGTGTGCATGTGAGTGAGAGTGTTGCTCTCCAGTTGACTTGAAAGAAACTGCAGCTTTCTCATGAAGGCCTTCACGAGGCTGTGCATTTCATGAACAAAAAGGCCCTTGCCTTGCAGTCTGGTGTTCAGTTCATTCATCAGTGCAGTCACATCAACAGCAAATGCAAAATCTGCCATCCAATCCTCATCTGAGAGCTCTGGAATGTCTTTGCCTTTCCTCTCGCAAAACTCTCGAATCTCTGCTTTCAAGTCCCAAACCCTCTTCAGCACTTTCCCCAGGCTGAGCCATCTGACAGCTGTGTGGAGTCCTCCAAAAGAGCCACAAACTGTCTGTGATTCATTGCCCATGCCCTGATGAAGTTTATTATTTTAGTAACAACATCAGTAACATGGCTGATTTTTAGCACTGACTTGCACAACACATGTTGGTGTATAATACAATGCAAAAACACCAATGTTTGATCTGTCGCTTTATCTTGCATGCGTTTCAAAAGTCCGACATTTTTCCCTGTAAGATTTGGACAACCGTCTGTTGTGACACCTGACAGTCTCACCTATTTCAATCCCAGAGTGTCCATGCACGCATTTACCTCTGTAAAAAGATCACTCCCTGTCGTTGTCCCTTTCATCGACCGCATTGCTGCCAGCTCCTCTGTGAGCTTGAAGTCCGTTACCCCCGGACAAATACGAGCAGCTGGGCTGTGTCGCGGACATCGCAGCTTTCGTCTTAGGCCAATGAGAAAAAGTCAAAACATGCCACTTCACGTTGCAGCTGAAGCTCCAGGTTCCCCGCAATGTCCTCGATCCTCCTGGTCACGGTTCGCCTGGACAGCGGGATTTGCTCAAATGCGCCTTTTTTCAGGGCATATTAGTGCAGCAGAGTCCACCATGCACTCTTTGACAAACTCTCCCTCCGAAAACGGCTTGCTGTTTTCAGCTATTTTGTGGGATATCACAAAGCTGGTCCTGGTTGCTGCATCCCTGGATGTGTGAAGCTTAGTAAAACAGCCTTGCTGCTTTTGCAACTTTGCTAGCAAAGCTTCGGATGTCCGTGCCCTCTCAGCATCAGACAAGTTCTTGTATTTTTCCGAGTGTTTCTTGTCGTAATGCCGACTCAAATTGTAGTCCTTAAACACGGCAATCTCCACCCCGCAAACCAAAGACACGGCTTTACCTCCAACTTCAGTAAAAAAAAAATACTTAGCAGTCCAATTTTTGTTGAAAATCCTGCATTCGGCATCTTTCTTCTTTTTTTTTTTGCATGAGCGGACATTTCTGGGGGCTACAATCACCATGTCAACTGCGGGCACTTGTTGCTATACGTATTGCGTCATTGTGCACGTAAAAAACAACTTCAAAATAAAAGCAATGCAGCCTTAGTCCATGCATGAGGTAAAATGAGAAAATACATTTATTTTGTAATTTCCAATTAACCTTACGCGGGCCGGTCAAAGTCAACCAAAGGGCCGTATGTGGCCCGCGGGCCGTAAAATGCCCAGGTTTGGTCTAAAGTATATAAGACACTGTCCAAAATAGACGATAGAATAGCAATCCCTATTGAAAAATGGGAGGTGGATCTATCAGTCAGCTTTGACCAGAACTTCTGGTCCCAAACTTGCTTAAAAACTTTTTAAATGATCAGCCACTCCAATTTACAATTAATGCAGTACAAAATTCTACACAGAGTACACTATACAGGTCATCGGATGTTCAAGATGGGGTTTGTGTCATCTGACACCTGTACACACTGCACAAACATTCCTGACAATTATATTCACGCACTGTGGTCCTGTCCACCTGTCCAGGACTTTTGGGGTAGAGTATGTGAAGACCTGTCAAAGTGTCTGAAATGTCATATCCCAACCACCCCCTCTCTATGTTTACTGGGAAACCTGAACGATGTCCTGATTGAAACATCTTTGGCTCACGTGGTTCTGACTGCCATATGCATCGCTAAGAAAACTATCCTCTTGAATTGGAAAAATAGAGATCCTCTTTGCATTAACCAGTATAGAAATCTTTTGTTAGCTCATATTACACTGGATTTAGCCTCTGCTTCCACTTCAAATCAATCTCTCTGGGCTCCTTTGATCGGTTCCATCACATAGCGATGACGGGGGACCATTGATATTGTCCTGCAGGATGATGTGGGTGAGGGGGTGGAGGGTCTGAGTTTGGAGTATCTGGACGTTCCCTGGAGGTGGGTTCACTGGGGGTGTCTGGGACTGGGGGGCCGTTGGCCCCCTCTGGAGCTGCTTGGGTTGCCTTGGGGGTGGACTACTGGCGGTTGTGAGTGGTTGTATGTGTATGTGTGAGCATGAGGGAGGGAGTGTGTGACTGTGTTTGTGTATGACTGTATATGTCAGGTGGGGTCTTTGACTCCTCCCTTCTCCTGGGACTTCTTTTGATCATATAGATCTTCGTCTCCCCTCTCCCTGCCACACCTGGTGTGGAGTGCGGTGCCTTGGTCTGCCAGGGTTGTGGCTCCCGGGTCAGGGAGTTTAAGATTTTTGGCATCTGCCTGACCAATCCCGGTGGCTGCCTGGTGGGGTCTGGGTCCCCGGCGGGGGTGGTCGCCCCTGGGTCCCGGGTCATTGGGTCCCGGGCTGGGCCGGCTAGGGGGTGGGAGGCTGCGGGCGAGCCTGTGGGCTTGCCGCCGATATCTCCCGGTACTCTGCCGGCTGCTGGTTGTGGCCCCCCAGGGCAATCCTCTGCGCCTCTCGAGGGGGGCAGGGGCTTTTCTGGTCGCAGTCTCCCTGGAGTTCCTGTGCTCTGGGGCAGTTCCTGGATCTCTGGGATTTGGAGCTCCCTCCGTCTCCTACACATCTTTAGGGGGCAGATCTGTGGCCCCTCACACTCTATTGGACGTTCCTATAGAGAAACCTTACATAAACAAGCGCGTGTACACACACAGGTGCTCACATGGTACAATCAAAAGTATGGACTTGGGCACATTCAACACATGGCTTAAGGCTACTGTGGGCACTTAATGCACTGTGATTTATTATCCTGTGATTGTTCAATTAAACAATGTTGATTATATATTTTTTCATCAAGTTGACACTGTGATAACTGGATCTTGTTGTATTGTTGTTGTGTCCCATATTTTTGTTTGTTTTTTGTTTTAGTTTTTTTTTCCTTCTCTCTTTCTGCAGGTCTAGAAGCAGACTCTTGTTCATTATTGTTTATTTTTGTGGACCCCCCCCCCCCCCCCCCCCCCCACACACACACACCTTTTGTCTCTTCCTTTCTCTTTCACCTCTGTCTCCGTGTCTGGTCGTAATTACAAAGCATTCAAAAACAATAACAATAAAGTTTTAAGTATCAGGCGTGACATTAAAAGCAGACGCTTTGATGCTCCACCTGAGAATAAATCTGTAAGGCTTGTCACCAGCATTCAGACATCAATTCTGTTTGCTTCACAGCCAGACAGGACACGGGGAAAAAATGTCTACATTTAAATGTAAAATATAAGAAAAATGTGTTAATTTGCATACTTACAGTTTTATTTCAGCATTCAAATATTATGGACCTTTATGGTCGGAAGTGCTACAAATATACAAAAATGATGAATATTTACAGTTTCTTTTTTAACATGTCCTGTTCTGGCAGATGAAGCAGACAGAAGGCTGCTCTGAGCGCACGATGAATCCAGTCTGACTGTTTTCGTGCAAACATTTATAAATGAAACATTTATGCAATGTGTGATCCTTTTTGCTGTAAACTGTTATTTTCTCACCAGTTCTATCGGGAATTCAAAGACTGGTGGCTGTTTGGTTTCTATTTCTGCTTACCTCTGGCCTGCACGGGAATCTTTTATACACTTATGACCTGTGAGATGCTCAGTCGGAAAAAAGGAATGCGCATCGTGCTCAATGACCACATGAAGCAGGTAGATGTGCAAAACAATAGTGGTTTTTATTTATCAGTGAAAGAGACATGAACTCTTAAGTTTGTGTCTGATGATAGCTCTTTGGACGGCCAGGATCTGGAGAAATGGAATACTTTTGACAGGACTGATCAGCTAACAGCTAGTTAGTACAGGGACAAAGTGGATTTGTGCAACTCTACTCACTGTGGTTCATGAAAAAGTGGACTTATTAATCTTTTTTGCAATCTCATTATTTTAGTAGAGCTATTGCTACAGAAAATCCTCCAGAGGTGATGCAGGCAGCAGCTGCTGCCACTATCAGTGACAGAGAAATAATAACAAAATTGCGTCAAATAACTAATGTGATGTTCTGACAGTATTGGCAAAAAGTTAAAAGTTTAAGTTAAAGTCCCGTTAGTTGTCTCACACACTGATGTGTGTGTGAAATTTGTTCTCCGCATTTGACCCATCCCCTGGAGCAGCGGTGAGCTGCAGACACAGCCGTGCTCGGGAACCATTTGGTGGTTTAACCCCCCAATCCAACCCCGTAATGCTGAGTGTGAAGCAGGGAGGCATTGGGTCCCATTTTTTCAAAGTCTTTGGTATGACCCGACCAGGAATCGAACCCTGACCTCCCAGTCTCAGGGCGGACACTCTACCACTAGGCCACTGAGCTGGTTGGACTACATTGGAGTTCCTTTAAGGCACCAAGAATCCACTTAGCTCGTAGCCCTACGCTGACCAGCTGTGGTTATTTTCTCTATTTTCTGTGATCCAAAGAGCTATCTACAACTGGTGACGTTGAGATCTAAACTTTATGTAAACTTTCTCTTAATGTGTGTTTGTTGCAGCGGAGGGAAGTGGCGAAGACTGTGTTCTGCCTCGTGTTGATTTTTGCTTTCTGCTGGCTGCCCCTTCATCTCAGCCGTATTCTGAAGAACACGGTCTACAACCAAAATGACCCCAACCGCTGCGAGCTGCTCAGGTAGGCCGATATCTGGCACGGCGGCTATGACGTAACAAGAACCCATTGTTCTCTGTTCTTTAACATCCTGTGCATGTTTCGGTGAACTCTGTTCTTTCCCCCGTCAGCTTCCTCTTGGTAATAGATTACATTGGCATCAACATGGCCTCTCTAAACTCCTGCATTAACCCGATCGCCCTCTACTTTGTCAGCCAGAAGTTTAAGAACTGTTTCCAGGTAGGAAGGAACACTCTGGAATTTAAGGAAAACTGTATTCCTGGAAACAAGCATTCAACCAAAGCTTGTGTTTCTTGCAGTCTTGCCTGTGCTGCTGGTGCTATGGCACGTCTCCTCTGGATGAGCAGGGCTCAGGGGGACGCTGGAAGGGCTCTTGCCACGTGAACGGACTGGACCGCTCCAGCTCCCGCTCCAGTCAGAAATACACAAGCTCTTCATAAACACACACACACACACTCATCATCTCACTCGAACTATGAAACTGAAAACCTATGGTTAGATCTGAGTCAGGAGGGGGAAATTAGCCCAGGTGGAAGTCGATGGAGCCGTGGTTTCTGCAGAATAAGACTCAGTGATGTACTAGTTTAAGCTGAATTACCTACAAATGCGATGATGCTTCATGTGGCACCAACAAGGTCCATTGGACTAAAAGGCTGGACCACAAAATATTTTGAAGAGAATATCAAGCCACTTGTAAATGTATGTACAATTTATTTACATGTAGATTGCAAATGTGTGCTTGTGTCTAGCGATAGCGCTTTGTTTATGAATAAGGACTGACCAGTACTTCCTGCCTACGCTTTAATACCTCACAGGAAACGCTCAAGAGAAAATGAGTCCTTCAGGATGCAAAGGACCGGAATATTTGAGCGTCTATTCTCCGATAACACTTTTCCCCAGCAGCTGAGTCTTTGACAAAGACATTTATCCAGTTTGCACTTGAAGCTAAACTGAAATGGTCACTTCATACCAGATTAAAATGGGCCCCACTCTGTACCTTTCAGTCATGTGGAGAGTTGCACGTTGGAAATCTTTTTATCGCTGCTTCGAGTCATATGGGAGCAGCTGTTTTCCACAAACACTGTAATAAACCAGATGATCCCCATAATGCATTATGTTCACAGTTGTTTCAAACAATGTGGCTTCTATTTTTCTAAGAGCATCACAAAGAACACATGAGGAACTTGTGTAACCCGTCAACCCGAAGTGTGCTAACTTCCTGCTTCTGTTAGAAAGGATCTGCTTGCAAGAAATAAACTTTAAATTACATATAAATAAACATTTTAAACCTGCTATTTAAAGAGTGAGTCACTCCCAAATTAACTTTTTTTTTACTGATAAACTATATAAATGAGTGCTGTAGACACGTGTAGTCAAAAATTTGGCACTTTAGTGCATCTTAGTTAAAATTATAATATTCTGCCTGAAACTGTCAGTGTTGCGCCCTCTTCAGGTAAAAACTCTGCACTACATTTTCATTTAAATCTGCCATCACTATTGGCTAAGAGGTACCCTATGACATTAGCTGGTACCATATGATGTCACAATGCCACTGTGAGCTTGTGTATGTCTACCAGGCTACGCCTCCCTGTGGCATGTTTTTCAAACAGGAAATGGGAGTGAAGTCAGACTCTGGTAGGGGGTGACTTGCTCTTTAAATTTCAAAAAGAATATGACTGCATTCAACTTTGGTTATATAGTTATTTTGCATCCTAGTCAGGCTCCAGCTTCTACGTGACTCTGTTGGGTAAAACCAGTAGATCAGAGGTCAGCAAATCCAGTTGTTGGGGAAAAGAAATATCCATCTAACGCTGAAGGATCATTTATGTTTCAGATGCACAAATATAGGCTAAAGAGGGGTTACCGACACATCTATGTTCTACACCTGCTTGATCTAGTTCAAGGTTGTGTGGAGCTGGTATGTATCTCCAGTGGTCAATGGGCGAGAGGCAGGGTTACACACCGTAGACCTCTCAAACATTTTTTCAATGTCATGTGAGGTGATTTGACCATATGCTCCCTTGAGAATCTTCTCCAGGGGCTAGTTCAATAAAACATTCATCTGTACAGTCAAGCTGCTCCCACTAGAGCTCCACAGGGTTCAGATCCAGAAACTGCATTAGGCAAAGTAATATTCCATCTGGTTTCTTTTGTTATTTTAAATATGGCCAAAACCATTTTGTAGCTGTGTTTTGGGTGAACATGAAATTAGACTAAATCAAATCACCACAGGGCATTGCAAAAACCTGTGATAGCCAAAGCATCGGCCCTCATGCAGGACACACACAGAGGACTGACTATTGCTGATTATAGGCCATAAATTATTAAGTTAAATGATTCACTTGTGTAGCACCTTTCTGATCAAAGGAACCCAAAGTCCCTTAAACTACCGTGAATTATTCATCCATCCACACACAAACGCATTCACACACTGATTGTGATGAGACACTTACAGATAAAGCTATGTATAAAGGTGGGGTACGAGATGTTTTTCATGGGCGTCTTTTGCCATATTGGTCGAAATACTCCACGTGTCGATGGCAACCAATAAAATTAATGTTTTGTCAAAAAATGAGAGATCGTAGTTGCCTTATCCAACCATTGTGAATGTCCCGTTCTAAATGACTGGATCCAAATCCATTCATCAAACTGCTTTCTGACTGGCCCTCCACACTCTGGACATACCCCTCAATGTGCACGAATTGCACTATCTCACCTTGGAGCAGCTCAACAGGAAGAGAAGTCAGAGCCAGGCTAGCTATATTGGCTAGCTTACGGAATTGTTATATGGTTACGTAGCCTCAGCAGAAGTAGCAGAGTGGGTTTCCAGTGTAATAAGCCCAGTCCTCCCCACTTGATTTCTTCTCTACGTCCCCAGGACTTCTCTCTCTCTTACTCTTTTAGTAGGGACACGGTCCGGAGAACTACTGACTGTCACCAGATGAGTCCGTGATAAGCTTGGAGGTTCAATAGCTGTTACATAGGTGTGATACATAAGCACTTAAGACAGGAGAGATCCCAACAACAGGTTAAAAAGTTAAGAAAACGTCATGTTTTTATGATTGTTTGACAGCACCCGTTGTGTCAGCATGCTTCCGTATTCTGGAGGCACAGGTTGGGGTGGGGGGTGAAGAAAAGGGGTGGGACCATTGAACTGTGTTTTTTCAAAATGTAGCTGCCTCAGACATCTTTTCCCGGGAACATCTACCCTACCTTTAACAGTCTTTGGCTCGAATATCGACTACTCAACATATGAACACAGTGTAAGGTCAACCAATGTGTCTAGAATGGTCCACAAGGGTCTTCTCCACATTACGGTGATTATACTGAGCCTTTCTTCATGCTTCCTCTTGTCTTTTGACCATGATGCCCTTTTCCAGTGATTGTTCTTTTGCATGATGCAACCAAAAAAGGCAAGAATTAGCTTGGTGACCACTGACTGAAGTGTCACGTCCGTCTTCATTTGTTCCATAGAGCATCCTTCTCAAGCAAAAATTTAGATCTTTCGTTTAAAAATAATCTGATTAATTTTAATTGCTATGAAATGGGTAAATTTGTTTTTGAGCTGCATGAAAATGTGATTTCCTTTGGAAAACAACATTTCTAAGTGATCCCTTTGGAGTGATTGTGTGGATGAAATGCTTACAGAATATTTGCTGCAATAAGCAGCAAAAGAATGTAAAAGCAAAACGACAAATTTCATTTTTCAAACTTTTCAAAGAATGTCAGTTCCGAATAACTAGATCATGTATGTGTAATGAAAATACTTTAAAGGAAACATATTTATCCTGACTTTGTTCCTGTTTGGATCAGCAATCATGATAATTACTAGATGTCTGAACCCTGAGTTAAAGTTCGAATAATTAACTATCATCCTGAGGACTCTGGTTCTAAAAGACGCCACTTATTAATACAATAAGTTGGAAATGCCCGCTCTATTTTTATAAATCTATAGTTCTGACATGATATCTCCTTTTGCAATGCTGTGATTGTGCTCTTATTGTAATAAAGCAGGAGGAGAATTATGAGAATTCCCACATTTTGCTTTTACCTTCATCTGCTAAGGAGGCTCAGAGCAGCATTTTCCATGTTTCCATAGATGAGCTAACACGTTAAAGAGGTTTTGCAAAAATGTAAGGCTGGAGAACCAAATATATGTGAATATTGTGGCCCTGTTGATTGAAACCTTGTATATAGTATGTTTTTTCTTAGATTATACAATATTAAATATTATTTTATAGCATGTTTGTTGTTTGTATTATTTGCATTCACCAGATAGTTTGAGCCACTTTTCCTGAGCCGACTCCTCCTAAGGCTTAACGGGTGTTTTTTTTCACGTCTTTCCACAGGTTTTTACTAAGATAAGTTAAACTGCTCTAAAATGATAAAACAATAAATATTGAACCAATAATTGTAAGAACTCTTTGAAATGTTGTTGGTGTTCTGAAATGTTTGGTGAATGTACTTGACGAATATTGTTTTAATCAAAAGGAAAGGAATAGAATAGAATAGAATAGAATAGAATGGAATAAACTTTATTAATCCCACAGTGGATAAATTCCCTCGTTACTGCAGCACATACACTGAGAGAAAAGGAAGGAAATTAATAGTAACAAAAGTAAAGGTAAATATGCATAGGCAGTAAGCTACTATATTAGCTAGCATTCAACATTAAAACAACAAATAAAAAAATAGAAAATTGAGTTTCCAAAAACATGCAGCATAAGGGACACATCTGGTATTGCACAAGTATAGTGCTTGGGATCACACGCAATTACGCATTGAATTCTGGGGACGTGGCAGACAAGTTGATGGCCTAATGAGTGTAAACAAACCATAAAAACAAACATTAAGAGTGTTTCTCAATGTCAAGGCGCCTAGCGAGGCCAGGTGCCTTGCTTACGAGGACACTGTCCTTCCTTGGTCAAAGGAAATGGTTAAATGGAACAGACTTGCATCCTGTGACCGCAGCTTCCTCGGCAGTCACGTAAAGTCACGTGACACGGGAGAGAATGTTATATTTTATACGTATTCGTTTCAGTATAAATATATAACGAGCCTTTTACTTTTTTAATTGTGTATATGTTTATTAAATTAAATGTATAAGTGAGTTACTACCCACTAGCCACCGAAGCTGTGACTACTAAGCAACTAATGAACAATAGATAACTTCTTTGGATCTAAAAAACACATTTTAAATTAGTTGATTTACTTTTAAACTTGAAAATTGTCCCCGAAGTAGTTGCCGGCTTCTGATCCGCCGTCCTTTTGAAAATACTCTGGTGTACTATGGGTAAATTTTTTTTTACCAAGGCTAGGCTGCAGGACACCTCCCATGTATCCATGCTCAGCTAGCTAAACGGCTAACAAAAGGAGAACACACGCCTCGGTAGAACATGAACATTGGAACACGTCTTGGCAGCTCCCGATGATGTATCTCCTAGGCAACCGGGGCGGGGCCAAGACATCAAGACAAGATTCCTTGGCATTGAGAAACACCCTAAATCACAGAGAAGAAGCACATTTGGCAGAAAGGAAGTGTTAAACAACACAAAAAGGACATGGTAAATACGTCGGAGACCGGTACGTGGACAAAATCAGCATTATAAACGGTTTGGACCCACACGAAAGACCCAAGACTGGAGCACTGACGACAGCTTGTTGTCTTCGCAGTTCTGCGTAACGGACAATTTCAGTGTGTATGCGTGTAGCCTATGTGTGTGCATGTGTGTGTGTGCGTGTGCGCATGTCGCGGTTGACAGAAAGAAACAATGCATAGAAAAAAATACTCTGGAAGGTGATATTTGGTCGCCTTGCAACTGCAACCCAAGTAAGCCGACGAGATCAAGGTTTTAGTAGTTTAGCATTTTTTATTAATTTTTACGTCAAATTTTTAATTCTATTTAGTTTCAATTAGTTTTGACAACTTGTTTGTTAGTCTTAGTTTTGTTTTAATCTTTGAAAATATTAGTTTTTTTAGTTTTCTTTAGTTTCAGCCATAGTTTGTCCTTTTTTAAAATTTGTTATATATCAGGGACTAGAATGAATATAAGAATGGATATTGTGTGTAACAAAATCTCAGAAATTCATCATAGTTTTTCAAAACTGTATTCAGTTAGAACAGGTGAGCTAACATACACTTCAGGTAAGTATCAAACGTATGGCAAAGTAACAAAAAATTAACTTAACAGGCTAAAACCAGCTACAAATCACTTTTTTAAGACAGGTAGTATTCAGAAAACTTCAGAAAATTGCTATGTCTGAAGTCATTTAGATTCATTTTAATATGAACATTAGGAGGCACAACAATACTTTGCCTGGTGTTATCTTCTGTTCCTGAAGCGAACACATGCTCCTTAACCTTCTTGATGTAAGCTAGGTTAGCTGGCCTGTGCGAGCTTTTCAAGAGCACCTTCTGATTTGTGGAGTTGTTGCCCTTAAAGCTCACCGCTCCCCAGGGGAATGGGTCAAATGCGGAGAACAAATTTTGCACTCACATCAGTATGTGTGACAAGTAATGGGACTTTACCTTTACTTTTGTGTTGTTGCATTGCATTGTTAAAGTATCTTTCGGGAGTTTTCTACTTTCAGAAATTATGGATGGTTTTTCAGAAATCTGTAAAAGTGATTTTCTTATCATGTACATTGATTCTTTTTTTTTTGTTGCTAAGCACGCCCCCTGTCCCGCAGAGCTCTGTGCAATAGGAAACTTAGCACCGACCAGAACTAACCAATAGCATTAGACTACCTGCTTCAAATATAAGAAATACCTCGGCTGATACAGAGTTGATGAACTTTTCACGGACAAGTCTCTAAAATATAAATATATGAAAACACAGCATGACATGAGAATAGTACTCGTAAAACAACGTGTTTTAGCTCTGTTTGTCAGCTACAGAAGCACATTTATAAACAAGAAATGTGAAGTCGCCATCTTAAAAAAACAGAGCGACAGACTTTTAGTGTGATATGCTTGTCAGCCACTAGATGGTGCCATCGGATAAGAGAAATACTCCGGAAAGAGACATTAAGAAACGCCCCACATATTTGATCATAACTAAAACGCATTCATATTCAAAGTTATCTCAAATTGGTCTGTGTCGCTTCTCACACAATGTTGACGAGCCGCCTGTTGTGGTACGTGCACAGCAAAAAAAATAATAATTAAAAAATTAAATACAACCGGAAATCACGAATGACACAAACACGAAAACTAAGCTAATTTTCTCAGTGAATTCCATTAGTTTTAGTTACAGTTTCAGTTAATTTCTACTTTGTTTTCAAACATTTGTTTGTATTTTGATTTCAGTTAACATTTTTTTAATTCTAGTTTTTGTTATTTTGTTAGTTTTTCGTCAGCAATAATTACGGTGGACAAGACTTTATTTTAGATACTTGGTCTCTGTGGTTATGCCTCCAAGCAGGAAAACGATGAAAAATTTGCCCGTTTTCCACATTTTCCCTGGCGATCATGTGTTGTACCCCACAACACAGCAACAATTTACCATGGTTGCGTAATATACCTGATCAAATGAATAATAGATTAAGTGAAGTCGGAGGAACGAGACTTAGCGCGCTGTTGTCTGGAGTAACAAGCAACAAGTAAGGCCACCAACAGGGTGACCGCATCGGTAATGACGCCTCGATTCCAAGCCGTATAGGGAGCCTAAATCACTTCCGTATCATGGGTGCCCAGAAGAACGAAAAAATGAATGCAAGTCAACGGGGCTAAAAATGCTATTTTCTAATTCCACTAGTTGTCGATATATGATGTCCGTGAATTTTAAAGATGCATTTTGATACCAAGAACACGCTTATTTTCGAACGGGGTGCAACGATATTTTAGGTTTTGTGCAAAAGTAAGTCCAGAACTACAAATGCGCTTCACAAAAGTGATGTTATCGAACCAGACACGGAGAAAACAGAGCGAAAATGGCTGTAAGTTGAGCAAACTTCCCACAGGAGGAAAGAATCACCCTAAATATGGTAATTTGGTAAGTAGCAGCTACTTGATTATGTGGTGATGTCACATGCTGATTTCTAGTTTGTAGTCATGCTATTTACAAACTTTTGCAAGCTAATAAATCTCAAAGTATGTGACTGGTGTGGTCAAAACACCCATCATTACTTTTCATTTAAATTGTAGTACAACATATGTGTGATCCAGGGCGTAAGGCAATGGTAAATGGCCTGTATTTGATAGAGTGCCTTCTAGAGTCCTGGAACCCCCCAAGGCGCTTTACAACACAATCAGTCATTCACCCATTCACACACAAATTCACACACTGGTGGGGATGACCTACGATGTAGCCACAGCTGCCCTGGGGCGCACTGACAGAGGCGAGGCTGCCGAGCACTGGCGCCACCGGTCCCTCCGACCACCACCAGCAGGCAACGTGGGCTAAGTGTCTTGCCCAAGGACACAACGACAGCGACAGACTGAGCGAGACTCGAACCTGCAACCTTTCGATTACGAGGCGAGCACTTAACCCATGTGCCACCGTCGCCTTAAGGCAAAATAGCATTTGTAGCCCCATTGACTTGCATTCATTTTTTTTGTTCTTCCAAGGACCCATGATGCAGAAGTGACTTAGGCTCCCTATTGAACACATATTGCATTGATGTTAGTGTGTAGCAGAACGCTAAGTAAGAGTATAACTCTTACTGCAGTGGGAATGAATGACCTATGAAAAAAAACCAACCATACAATGCACAGGCTAAACTCTCCCATAGTTAACGCAATGACCATTTCGTTGTGCCACCAAAACCGTTTCACTATCCCAATCTTGCCCCCTTTTGAAATTCTCTTGGAGCGCCACTGCTTCCAAAGAGCTCTTCATGGTCTCAGGTTCAACAGAATAAGAATAAAATCCGACATTTCCTTGACATTGGTGTTCAGTTGAAAGTGTTGGATGGTTTTGTTGGTTGTATCTGACCCAACTATCTTTTGTCCCCTCAGTTTTTTACTATTTAGTACTATCACAGGAACATGAAGCTGCTCTGAGCGTTTACCTTCAGCATAGATCACTATAATCATCCCTCAGATCTAGTCACCTCTGGCCATGCTCCGTTTGATGCAAGTCATGTCCAGTGTTGAAGTCTCACACAACACATACTGTGTAACTTTTTTATGTTCATATGTTGGGTTGGATGTTTAACATGCTCCCTAGTCATACCAGTTATACAACCTTCACAAGGACCGCCACCAAAGATGAACTGTTGATAGAACTGTCATTTCTAATTTCAACAGTGTGTTTAAAGTTAAATATGACGTAAAAGGCTTTTTGTTTCCTGTTATAAGAGAAAATTACATTTGGTTTTCATCTGTTGTTATTGATCATCCAAGGAAAACATCAAATATCCTACGTTTTCCAGGTTATTGTGATTTTTTTTTGACATTCGGCTCGGCGGGGTTGGTTCCAGGAAGTGTTCGTGTGTCGGCACAACGCAGATTAAATCTCTTAAAACGATCTTTTTAAACAAACTTGAGTTGCAGATTTGATAGGTTTGAGTTTATTTTTCTGTCTCTTCTGGTTCTTGGAAATGGCAGCACCTTGGAAAAGTTCCACTAGAGGACATTTTAATTATTATTATCAGTTGAAATTTAATTCTCTTTTTTCTTCTGAAACAAATTCTATCTTGTGGCTTTTGAAGTAAAAAGTCTGCATTTCAAAGGAAACCATTTAGCACTGCCAAAGAAAAGATTTCTGGGTTTTTTTTTCTGAAAAATGAGATGCACAACTGGCAGCAGACAATAAATTATCCTGAGGTCAAACATGTGCACAGCAGAATTCATGTTTAAGGAGATTTGAAAAGATAAAAGATGAAGAAAAGTTGCATGAACAAAAATATTCATAAAGAAACAAATCATTTTTCCAGGGGCTGCAGGAAAACTGGTTTTCATTTATTTTAGAGAGCTCATCATTTTCCCGCTGCTGTTTTAAACATTGTGGTGTGTCAACACAATGTGTTTTAAATAAAACCTATTGTGAGTTGGAACTTCATCCCATAGGCACCATCTCTGTGGGTGTCACAACATTTACAAAACCACTTTAAAGAGGCAGTGTGTAGTTCAGTGGGGCCAGAGAAAGTTCTGAGGAAGCGCACCTAATTAATCTGTAGTGATGCAATTCATTTATTTATTTTCATTTAAAAAAAAACATTAATATGACTTATAAGCCAGGCCAGCATTTTTCTAGGGGTGTAGTTTCCTGGCGCTAGGGGGCAGTTCATACATGTCAAGGTAGTTTAACACCATATCACCGTGACTGTCGCTAAAAACATGGCGGTAAATGTTACCTGTGGAGCAGAAAGCATGCAACCTCGGCGCGACTCCGATGGTCCTTCAGTTCATTCCATCAAGACGATGCAATGCTGATTGTAGTTTTCTGGATCTGCTTCGGGCCCTGCTCCTGCCGATGTCGTCATCAAACTACGGCAACACCGCTTGGTCAAAATTTATTTAATCTCTTCATTTATGCTTTTCTTCCACATGTGTTTTGGAAAAAGTTTTGCGGTTTTATTAAATTCATGTTTCTTATTGCCTAAATGTTTTTCAAAGTGGTAACGTAACTTCCATAAGTCGTACATCCAGCCAATCATCTGGTGTGATGTCATCAACAGGCGCAGGACCCCGAGCTGGCCAGAAGAAAACATGGCGTCTAATATGGTGTTCCCCAAAGATGCTAGACCTATGCCCTATGTACTCTATTTTTATGGTTATGTGGTAGAAAGTCACCATTATTTTTCAACAAGTGGACATCGTTTCATTCATTTTGATGAATATTTTCTGATATTAACACTGTCTCTTTAATTGTGACTCTAAACTGCAGAAATAATTACATTTCTGCAGCACTGCTTAGGAATCCACACTGAACTTAAGTAATAAATTATCCTCCTGATTATATTTGCATTCTCTGTGCCTGACATTTTTATTTGATTTCATTTAGCACTGCTGTCCTAGTAGAGAATCCTGATTTTAGTGTAATTAGGGGTAAGGGCTTCGTAGGGGTACAAGAAATAACTTCTGGGTGCTGCAGGCTCACAGACTGTAAACAATGACCCCGTACCTCTTTGGCCGTTTTGAAAAGAGAAAAACTGGCAACCCCACAGCCAGCTGAGGGAAAATCTGTCCTTTCTGTCCTTCTGACATGATTGAGACATTAGACACTTCTTTGAATTTAGTTCACTGTAAAATTCTTAAATTTTGTAGAAAATATAGTGAAATAAATATATTCTGTTTGGCTCCTTCAAAGAGTACAGTTTATACCTCCAGTTATTTGAGTGAGTGGCATTAAAAGGGTTAACTTGTGTGAGTTGGAGGACCTCATGGAACACCTAGAGACAAACAAGGCAGCGAAAAAGCTGCAGCATCACTACCAGACAGACATCACATTGATCTTTACATGTGTAGCGGAAATCCACATTTTATATCCTCAGGTTAACTTTGTATGGATTTACACGGAAAAGAACAATAACATTGTCACACAAAGGGTTCTTTCACATTCAGCAGAAGGAAATAAAGAGGGGAATTTGAAACTGGCCCGCAGTTGGGCATTCTGGTTAACTCCTACATTTTTCTCCCAGGAACGTAAATTTTACCAAGTGACATGTTAAGCCGGACATTAGCAGGACTTTGTCTGTTTTACCTCAACCTGACCCCCCCACAGGCCGGTGCTCGTAAGACTTCTCAAGAGTCATTCTGGAAGATTCCAGGATCTCGCTTTTATCAAAACCCTGGTATTTTTCTGTTTATAATCAAAGAAGGTGTTTAGGTTGTTCACCCTTAAGATAGAAATCAAAATGCTCCAATTTAAAATCTTATCAGCCACAGACCTAAACTGTTTGTTTTGGGTTTTCGTTTATGTTAAACCTCTGTCATTTGGTGTTTCTCCAGTTAAAATTCATGCTAATGGTAAAACTGTTCAGTTTTGAGGCTTTATTTGAATAACTGTGTTAAATTGTGATCATGGATTTTCATCTTGGAGAAGGTAGTTTATTTGGAAGAGCCACAGTGCCCTCCAGTGGTTTTTGAGTAAGATACAGGTGGTTGTGCCCAAAAGGTTATATAAGCACCCATCCGAACCTCGTGGCGGCAGTTTAAGAAAGGACGCCTTAAAATCATCCCCTGCGGGCTGTTTTCCATCTGGCCCAGCAGAACCCGGCGCTTTAAAGTAATTAGCTCTCAAAAGTTACGGTAAAAACTTAGAAGCGACTCCATTGTTTTGTTGTTCACATTCCTCTGCTCATAAAGACACGCTAGCTTCCAAATCCGTCTCACTCATCACTCCACCTCAAAGGACGGATGGGACAACCCTGTCTGACAGATTGTTAAAGCATTATTAAAAAGCTGTTCTTGGTAAATGAACAACAAAGTCAAAAATGTACAAAAAAAAGTCTCCATGGTAGGTTTTAAAGAGAGACTAGGCAGTTTTGGCTTGCCCTTAGCACCCCCTGGTGCCCGTTTTTGGGATCAAATGTAAAACTCACCTCCTCAATGTGCGATTCTTTTAAACACCTTAATCTTACCGCTGAAATGTCTCCCCAGCCTTCCTTAGTGTCTACAGGAGTGGTTCATCACTAAAATAATCAAAACAGCTGCACATGATCTAAAACATGCAGGAACCAGACTGCAGTGCCAGGTATGTCTGCTCAATTTTCCCAAGTCCCAACAGAACAGCCTGTCAGTCTGAAGTTGCAAGTGGAATATTCTGGCCACAGAGGGTGCTAGGTGCTGGGTGGCCTTTCGTTAACCCTGTTAAGGATGATTTTAGCACAGACTGGCTCAAAAAAAAAAAAAAATTTAAATATGAAAAAGTTGCAAAGTATCCCTTTAAATTTCACAATCATGTTTATTATACATTACAAATCCACCACATCTCACAAAACAATAAACTGTACAAAGACTTCCAAAGGGTTTGAGTTCTTGTCACTTAAAGCACACAGAAGGTGCTTTTTAAAGGTAACAGCTAACATGTAGCAGGTGTGACGAACGATGGCGTTCACTCCATGGGCTGATCCTCCCTCTGCTTGAACTCACCGACTCTTGCCTGGAAGAAAACAAAAGAACAAGCCGTCAGAACTGGTGTACAGAATGTCCACCTTCCTTTAGTTTTACAGTATTAGGCATCAGGACATGATGAAAATAATCTTCACCTAACATCCGAGAAGTTCAGATTTTTGGTTTTGATCTGGCATGCTTTTATTTTTTGACAAGCAGAATGTCACATGAAAGGAGCAGGACCTAAAACTCGTATCAGAGCCAGCCAGGAGTGGAGCTCTGACTTCAGCATCCAGCTTTATCGGTTAGCTGGGAGATCTCGTAACACACACAGTGGTTGGAGGAGAGCTGGTTCTTACAGGGGAACTGGACTCTCTGGTCGTTAACAGGCCTGACTTGCTGCTTCATCCTTTAGATTCAGGTGTGTTACAGAATTACTTAACTAAACCAGCATATGCAGACATGGACCGATTCTAATGCTGTCAAACAAAGAATCCTGCGTCGATTTGAAAGTTCCCTTCTTCACTGTTCCTCAGAACGGAAACGGAACCAGAACTTCTCTGGTGACTAAAGACTCGGACCCCTCAGGAGGACCGGGGTTGCTGACAGCTGGGTCTGGAGGATGGCTGAATGTCCTTCTCGTTTCAAAAACCTCAGATCTTATTCTACTAATGGGTGTGACCCCGTGAGGAAAGTTGACCATTGAGCAGGGTTGATGGTTTATCCCTTGGGTCCACGTGGCAGGAGTGAGGAGTGAGCACCACCTCACCCCCACCACGTGTCCCATAAAGACAGTGGGAGGGTTAAAGCTTGGTTTATGTTTGACGCATTTACTTTCCGCGCGGTGATGCGGCTCGCGGATGGAACGCGCTTCACAACTCGCAGCATTTATGGTTCATGCGGCTCGTCTCTGCGGTGAGCCAATATTCTCCCAAACTGTAGGGGGCAGCATGGAGCTCTACAGCATGCATCCAACACTACACCATAGTAGAAGTAGAAATTACTGTTTACAACATGGCATTCCAGCATTTTTAACAGCGTCCTCGTCTTCTCCGACAGTGCGAGCTATCTCTCTCCAAGAATTATTAACAACATGTTGATCACGGCGATCTTTGAGAGCTGAATCATACAAATGTCTGTATTTACGAACCTCTGCCATACTAGTTCTTGCCAGTCCGCCATGTTTTTCCGCGTCCGACCGTCCGCGTGGTTAGAAAATTTCCTAAGTGCGCGGTGCGGAAAGTTTGGGCCGTGCGGAGGCTCGGTGGAGGGGCGTGGCTGTTAAAATGACGCAAGTTTGCCACGCGGAGCCATACGGACCTCGCGGACGCATCAAGCTTAACTCTACAGTGTTCAGACTCACTGAAATGCATCTTTACAACAAAACATCTGAGCTCATTTCCAACAACAGGATGACCCTGAACACCGCCCTGATCAGAACGAACAATGAGACAAACAACTGAAAACGGTGGAGTTCAGATCAATCAGACAATTTCCCAGAAAAGTACCTGATATTCCAATCAATACGCTTCAATGCAGATCACCCGTCGTTCATACTTTGGATGATGTAGAACGTAAAGTTATGACATTGGACTTTCTGCACCATTTAGCCTGTTGAGAGGTTTAATGTTTTAAATCTGTTGGACTGTGTTACTGATTGCTGCTACATTTAAGTGTTTTCAGTTATTATCCTTTTGCTGCTTGTTTTTCTCTTATAAAACTAATTAAAAACATGTTTTGTCCAAATGAAAGTGATGATGTGGTTCTAATTTCCAAATCACGCAGCCAGTAACAAGGAAAAACCCAGTCCATGTGATCAGTTATTCTACATTATAAATCTCCAATTCTGACTGCTGGTGATCTGTACTGTTGGAGATCGGTATCGGTGAATGGAAACAAAACCCTGATAGGAGCACTAATAGGGAGCCTAAGTCGCTTCTGCGTCACGGGTTCCCGGAAGAACGAAAAAACAATTGCAACAGGGCTAAAACGCTATTTTCTAATGCCGCTTGTTTTGCGCCATGGATTTCACGTATGATGTGATATAGGTAGAAATAAAATCTTTATTCGGGCCCTTCCTGGATGTGTAAGATATCCAGCTCGACCATAATTCGAAACCTGCTCCTGGATGAAAACACAAACCAAATAAATAAATAAATAAAAACAGACATTTTCATCCAGAACATTCTGGACAGAGATTGAAAAGAGGACGTTTGGTCACCCTAATGACGCTTACACATTTGTGTTGGCACAGCCCCAAAAGGTACAGGATTTTGGTTTCACACACAGGTCCGCTTTGCGTTTTTGGTGTCCAGGCAACTCTTTTTCTCAGACCTTCTCCCCAACGGTCAGACTGGGACCGAGGCGACACTACGGACTGATTGGCCGGCTGAAATTACGCCTACAGCCTCTGATCTGCGAAGAATGATCTAGAAGGGGGGTCCTGCATGTGCGATTCATTTTCATGTTCATGTTGGATGCTGTTGAGTAAACTTCTGTCTGTGGCACAAAACTGCCGATCAGTGGGAAAAGAAAAGCTTTGTTTGTGTTTTTGTGTGTGTGTGTGTGTGTGGCAAGAGATTATGAGGACACACACAGCAAATTAATAAAATAATGTGGTTCAGAGTCTCCAAAAGCAACGCAGCTCATGTCCGCCTTTGTTTACCTTATGGAGCGGACTTTCCCGCGCGTGTTAAACTCCACCCACAGGCTCGGGGATTTCTGCATTCCTGAGAAGTTCGTCGGATTTATATGTGAACACTACACCGCCCGTACCAGCCCAAACTCACGCCATCCAACCCGACCGTACCGACGCATGTGTTTAAGCGCCATAAGCGACCCACTGGGACGATGCCAGAAAGCCAGATGGACCAATCCACCCCTGCACATATTCTATCCCTCCATAATTAAGCTAAGCCTTTGTTACCCTCTAAACATGTTTCTCAACTCTCTACACTTTGTACAGCTAATGTCAAAATGAAAAATCAAGCAATGGCTTCAGGACCTTGGACATGTCCTCAGGCAGGCTGGACCTCCTCTCACTGCCCCAGCTGCATGTCATCAGCTGTCAGACCTGAGAGAACCACATCCTGTTCTTCTCTCCTTGGTCCTTGGATCTCGCTAGTTAACGGTTTGAATCGGAGTTAGAACTTTGGCTTTTCAGCATTTAGGATAAAACAGTTCTTTTGGTTAAATCCTTTTGTTTAAGAGCCGTTTTCGATTGTGGTCCTTAGCTGGTCGTCTTAGAGCTTTAATTTACATTAATGGTAGCTTGTTTTTATAGCCATCTTTGTTGTTTTACTAGATTTAATCTTTTGCTGTAGAGCTCGGTTTTCTCTTGGCAAATTAATTCATGAAGCCGTTTTGATAAGCAATAATTCCATTAGTTTGCATCTTCTGCTTCTGTATTATATTAAATTAATAATGCTTTTTCTTCTCCTCCATGAGGCCTTTTGCCTCAGGTGTTTTGTGTTACTGTGTTTTACTCTTGTTAATAAAAAAAAAAACACTTTTATTTAATCACACCTTTTACTCCAGTTCTTATTAGTGATGGGAAATCCGGGTTTTTAGAGAGCCGGCTCTTTCGGCTCCCTAGTGGCTCCTCAGACTTTCTGTTGCGTAGAGTACATTTATAACCAAAATAATGCTAAACTATATAATATGTTAAATGATTTACTAATGTAAAAAAAGCAATATATGAAATATTTATCATTTCTATGGATTTAATAACTGAACACTTTAAAAAATCTCCACTTTCCGACTGATGGCGCTCATTTTCTCACCGTCTTCGTCGCACTCTCCTCTCTCTCGCTCGCCTTTTTCCTCCTCCTCATTCCCTCTCGTCTCCCTCCACCTGCATGTGCTCTGCTGTGTGTCTGAGTCTGATCCTCCCTCTTCCCCGCCCCTACTGCTCTGTGTGTGGACAGTCTGGACACACAGTTACACATGTTGACCAATCGCCTGCAGCTTTCACCAAAGCAAGAGGGAAGGGGACGGCTCCCAATGACGAGCCGGCTCCCGTTGTTCACTTCAAAGAGCCGGCTCGCCACAAATTTTCTGTTGTACCAAAACTATGTTGTTTGAAACACACAAAATATAGCCATTTATTTATAAATCTATAATATTTAGTACATTTTTTGACATACGTAGGACGCCATGTTTTCCACACGCAATGCACTCTGGGGGCGATGATGTATATTGGTTGTTCTTGGAAGAATAGCTATCGACGCTAGTGCTTGTTTACGCGCTCACCGTATTAATAATGAAGTTAAATGCTGCATTGTGCGGCTTTTGGATGTAACTTCCAGTCAGAGGGCAACGAGGGGAGCGATGAGAGGTTACACAGCTTTCCCACTGGCAAGAAGAGGAGAAAGCAGTGGGAAGATGCCTGTGGACGGACATAACTTCCCAAAGATCTGCGGCTATGTAAAAGAAGTTAATTTACAACTAATTAAGGACCCGTGAGACAAAAGATTCCATAGTAAATGTGAAATCAATCTTACGGACCGTTGGGTTATTTAACCAGAAGATTGGAACTTTTTATTGCAGGGATTATGTAACACTTGTATTAACTGAGAGACAAGGGAAGAGAGAGAGACCTTTAGACATTTAAGAAGATTTACTTCTTAACAATTTAAACAATTTTAAACAAGACTAACTCTAACTCTAAATGATGGATGGATCTGGTGTAATGAGAAGTGAGATGGATGGTGTGTGTGTGAGTGATGTTTAATCAGAACTCTCGTATCCGGAGAAGCAAGTCTGAATGATGTTGTGATGTTTTGCTTTTAGCGATGATCTGAGTTTGATCAGAGTTTCATAAACACATGAGACGCCATTTTGTCGCTCCACACATACCCTTGATGAGACCTCTGGACAGATCCAGAACACCAGGTCCTCGGACCCTCCTTTCGGTACAGGAGCCGATGAAACAGCGTCAGCAGTACGACAAACTAGTCTTTGGACTGTCTCCAGGTAAAAAGCGACAGGTGGTTGACAGCGTCAAAAGGGACCCTCCTTGGGTCAGTGAGTTCAGCTTTTATTCTGAAAGGATCTGTTGCTTGGTTGGTAAAATGCAACAGATTTTATCCAGCTTGTTGGTTCTCAGCTTACAAAGGAAGTCCGGATGGCCGGTCCGATACTTCTCTTAGCATGCGGTGAACTCCAGTGAGATCTTGAGAACTGAACTAAGATGGCGTGGGAACTGGTTTTATTAATCTGGATGTTTTGATTTCTGGTCAAATCAAAGTTGGCAGATTTATAAACACCACAGAGACGATGCCACGCTTCAGAAAGGAAGGTTCTGATTGGATCAGTAACAGCAATGTGTCATGTGTTTACATTATTGTGTAGTCAGCGTGTCTAGTGCACTAGATTAAAGTCATATTACTTATTAAAGCATATTAATCATAACATTGTTATTTCACAGATTGGTCAACATTATATTATTGACTAACACTTGTTTTGATTAGCTTTATTAAAAATAGAGCTCTTTGATTTATTAAAGGAAAAGAGTTTTTTAATCGCCTTTCTTCTTTTGCTGGAAAGTAAACAGTTTTAGAAGCGAATGCATGACCTTGAGGCTGTCTCATGCAGCTTAGTACTGTGTCAGAGGCATCTGTGGAGAGAGGTTAAATAACCTTGGAGGAATAGCTCCTTCATCACGTTCCAGCTGTGTTCCCAACATTCTTCTCCTGATGCGTTTGAGGCTTATAGTTGACCACGACTACTTAAAGAGCTCACCAGAGGGGCTGGGTATAAGAGAAGGCTGAAATTAGATGCTTTACCGACCATTTTCCCACACAAGGAGCCTAAACGCCCTCGGAGAGACAAGAGACACTGGACGCTCTCCTGAGCCGACAACCCGCTACTGCAGCTGCCGCTTCTGTCACGTTCAGCGAACCATCGGACACGCCACTCGTCACGGATGAAGCTGAACGCTCACCTCTCCCGTCAGTAAAACAAGCAGTAAGTGTAGCAACACAGTGTTCTCCAAATATATAATATCTGCAAAAATGATTAAAGTCGTTTCACTGGAAATCCTAATCATCTATGAAGCACACGACAGCTCTGGATGCTAATATTCTCCTAAATCATTCATAATTGAATGAGCTTGATGACACGATAGCTTACCGTTAACTTCTGCTGACAAAATGTGAGCTCTTAACAACAAACACTCTCCCTCTCGGTTACCATGGAGACGCACTTGCCGCACACGCACCACCGGTTTTGTCCTGCACTCGCTTCATCCCTCCCTTCCTGCTCATCATTTTGATGCTCGTTTTGTGAAACATGGTCAGTGATGACATCATTAATGTTTCACTCTGGTTCAAACTGAAAAGGCTGAACAGATGACACGATGTCGCTGAACGGTCCCAAAGCCGGCCGGTGCAACCGAGGTACAACCAGATGACATCACTACCCAGAGGGCATTGCGATGCCAACAACAATGGCAACCTACGAGTTAAAATATTTTTACAAATTTTATAAAAATGAAGACAATAACAACATTTTTTACACCACTTTAATATAACTGATACTAACATTTATCTTTAAGAACCACAAGGTTTTGTAACCTGGGTTCCTTTTAAGTGAATAACCCCGGCTTTCCACGGGAGCCGTCAGCAGCACGTTACTGCAGCAGCACGTCTTGCTCGCGTAAACTGCTGCTTGGCCCTTCCCACGAGACGCGAAGCAGCAGGGGAGCAGCTGTCACCGACCGAGCACGAAGTCACACGAGTGACTTCGTCAGTAAACACAACAACAAGCAGGAGAAAACTACAACATGGTTTGTGTTTTATGTTCTGTCCATTTTATAATCGCCAATACGGACCTGAAAAACAAAGGAGACCGCTAGCTAGGTGAGAACTTCTCACGGGGACGCACAGTTAGTAACCTTTTTTAAAAAGTAAAGCAACCGGAAGGCAGTACGTTCTTTATTCTGAAAAAATCGGGAGCTTCTCTCCATTTCCGCATCCGATTTCCTGTCTTTCCTTCCCCAAAAATGTCGAACTTGACCCGTTTCAGAGGCGTGGCGCGTAGAAAATAGAACCGACGCGTAAAGGCCGCGACATGCTGCTCCTGAGACGCGGCCGACTCGCGCCGCTGACGGCTGCTGACGGCTCCGGTGGAAAAGGTTCTGTTGACCACAGCGGTTCCTATCAGCAGCTGTGACGTGCTGCTGCAGTAACGTGCTGCTGACGGCTCCGGTGGAAAGAAGGGGTAACTAGTGTTTGTGGTAGTGTACAATACTATTGTATTTACCTTGAATTCAGCATATTTGTTTGTATACACATTTATTAAAGCCATCTTTTGCAGTAAAAACTGCATTTAAAATTATGGAAACGCCGTGTTTCTCCACAGGAGTGTGTGTGTTTGTTCATTTTCACCTCTCTAGTCTGTTAAGACACACAAACATGATCACATTTATCAATCGAAGTGTTTTATTTTGTAAAATGTCTTTATTTTGTTAAATTTATCAGCCTGCCCCATCTGTTTTGGTTTGACTTCCTGCCAGAACTGGCGAAGCGCGCCAAAAAAATTAGATCTCACAGCAAAATGATCGCTGCGCGAACCTTCGTGGCGCTTCGCAGCAGATGTGACTGAGAGGTCTGATTAGAAGTGCTCGTTGTCGTTCCACGGCGCTTCGTCGCGCTTCCACTTGTGGTGTGTTTCGGTCGTAAAGCTGTCAGTGTTGCACCCTCTTCAGGTAAAAACTCTGCACAAAATTTTAATTTAAATCTAAAAATCATACCCTATGGCGTTAGCTGGTACCATATGATGTCACAATGACGCTGTGAGCCTATTTGTTAGCGGCTCTGCCCTCTTGGTCTACCAGGTAACGCCTCCTTGTGGCAAATTTTTCAAACAGGAAATGGGAGTGGAGTTAGACTTAGGTAGGGGGTGACTTGCTCTTTAAAGATCTCGCTAACGCACCTGGTGTTCTGCAGAACCACGACTCTGTGGTATATTTGTGAATGTCTGATAACCGTTACTTCATTTTGAATCATTTTTCATTCACTTTGTAATTATGCACTTTACAGTTAATAAATATAGTTACAATTGAAATTAATTAGTGAAACAATACAACAGAATCTGGGCACATTAAAGAGGTTTTATAGGGACCCCTTCCCTGGAGGAGAAGCTCTTCTAACACAGAAACACAGGTGTACCTGAAAGGTGTTGAGAACATGCTGACCAACATCGTGGAGATCATTCAGGCCTTTTCGGAGCGACTCTACAGCTGGGACGCCTCCTGAAACAAACAGTGAACATCTCCAATAAACCCTGTCGAGCCCACGCTCCTCCCACTAATAGGATAACTCACATTTTACAACAAATTAAACCAACGAATCATTCGGTCGACATGCTGCACCGTTACATCTGACTCTGGAAAAGAAATCACAGCAGACCGAAAACCTGGTGAGGGTTTAACTCCAAGCATTAATCTAATGTCACGTTCAGCTGCAGCAGGTGTTCAGGATGGAAATCTGACGATTAAACCAAAAAATGGAAAAAGAAAAATCACATGGAAGTCTTTTTTTTGCGCTCATCTTCAAAAACACGTAAAACTCCACTGTTTAAATCGCACTAGACAGGAATTCACAACACAAAAGCAGTGTACAACACCTGGAAACTTTCAAATTAAAAGTCGCATGGCAGTAAACGTACATCACTTCCTGTAAAAACCCTCACAGCCGATGTATACAGAACAGAAAACAAACCAGACCTTTTTATACATCCAGCTGTCTTTCTTCTTGCTTATTATTGCGTGTGGACTTCTGAATTTAAGTGTGGTGTCGCAGTTCTCCCGTGATTTTATGACATCACGGGATCAACTCGGTTTTTGCGTCAGAATTGCTCCTGGGTGGGGATGAACTCGCAAGTAAACTGCCGCCATTACGTTACGCTACAGCTTTCCTGGCCAGTGGGAGGAGGGGTGACATAATGCATGTGTGTAACTAGGGTTGTCACGGTAACCGGTATAGCGGTAAACCCCGGTAAAAAAGTTGACAATAAAAATAACCGTCCAGTTTTTAAAAAACTATATTATCTCGGTGGGTTTACCGTGGCCGCGGTTTCGGCGCGATGACCCTTACCAGCCACCGTCGCTTCAGCTGAAGTTCCCGCGGCGCGCACACGCACTTTTTAGTTTGCAACGGCACCAAAACTTTGAAGCTGAAATAATGGCCGAAGGAGGCGACGGCAGCGCCCAGGACATCCATCAGCCCTCAAAGAAGACTAAATCGGAAGTATGGGCATATTTGGGATTTCTGAAAAATGCTGAGGGACAGTTAATAGAAGACGGCTATCCCGTTTGCAGAACGTGCAGGAAACAAGTGTCTGCAGAAGGCAGCAACACTTCAAATCTCATGGCACATCTGCGTGACGATCACCCACGTCTCTACAGCCAGTGCAAGGTAAGTTAACATTAGCATTTTAGCTGAAATGCATGACGTGAGGACTTTTGGTTGACGGAGAATGCAACGAGTCACTATATACTGCAGCCGCAGCGTCCTCTGCCAGCATTTAAACCGTGTCACGGACACCCTGTTGCTGGATGAAGCATCTTATTTGTTGATGATGAAGAGAAATATACAATTAGTTCCTTGTCATGGATTTGTTTACTTATTCAATGCCATTTATACTTGAACATTTGGATTTGATTACATAGTGTAGTAGTTATTTTAGTAATTTGTTTAAAGTGGCTATTTATTTTAAATACATATTTTTTAAGGTTGACTTGTACAGTGCTCAAGTCAAGTGTGGACTGGAGTTTTAGATTTTCATTTTGATAATGAAGAAAACAAGTATATGAGAAAACAAGTGGTGTTTCTTTGATTTGTTTACATATTGTTTATGTTTTGAATGTTTGGATTTGTATCATTTAAACCTGCACTGACTACTGTAACAAGTTCCAGAAAAATAAGCTATTTGTTCCTTTACTTGTGAAAAGTTGCACTTTTGCTAAGGCTTTGTGTTATTTTAGGTTTAATAAACACTGTTAAACCTTTTCAGAACTATTTCAGTTTGTGTAGAACAGGACTATCAATGCTTTCTGAACATATGCAACACTGTTTAAAAAATACCGCGATAATACCGAAAACCGTGATAATTTTGGTCACAATAACCGTGAGGTTAAATTTTCATACCGTGACAACCCTATGTGTAACCCAGACTACAGCACTACAATGGTTTGGGGATTCCACAGCAGGACTCAAGGCAATTCTCACAGGAACGGGTGGTTTAGTTATCGGCCATCGTTAACAGAAAGGCCCATACCAGTATAGCGCTCCGGGAACTGACGTCACTTCACCCGGCATGCAACAGTTCTAATCATATGGCACCATCTTGGCAGTTGCTCAGTTAGGCTTTTGTTATTTGCAGAAAACCCAAACTAGAAATGGGAAATATGGTAGATACCTGCTGTGCCCCCCGGACGCCATAACAGACGCGGACGAGATAAGGGAAGAGCCGGAATCCCCCAAGATCCGGAAAGCTGCAAATGTTGGATCATCGCAATAAAACGCGCTAGTGACCGGGCTAAAATGAAACGGGGATCCCGGGAGCAAAGGTGTTTGCTTCTGCAGCGACCACTTCACATCAGGTAGGTAAACCAATGTTTCCTCAACTGTGTACGGCGTTTATTTTTATTATTTTATTACGATTCTTAGTGGGCTTCCTAAACTTATTTTTTCTTGTTGCTCATAGCAACAGGTAAATATCACGTAAAACTTTGTCTAATCATTCGTGATTTCTGCATGCTGCGGTTTACGTAACCCTGATTGATTCCATTTGTACGCTCCTGGCTTTTGTACGCTCCTGGCTTTTGTACGCTCCTGGCTTTTGTACGCTCCTGGCAATGCTTCGGGAAAACTAATAAGGAAATTGTAAATGTCTGGGTATCTCAAATCCGGTAACAGGTCCGCTCCAACAACAGAACCCCAGGGGCACGGTAAGAGTGGGAGATGTTTAGTCTATTTAATTTCTGAGTACATATAACTATAACTTCGGTTTTTAAATGTGAAGTAAACGCCAACGGAGTTAAATCCAAGCCGATCCCGTTCATTTTGTTTACATCGATGCCTGCCAGCATGGCGCCTTCGCTCTGAGAATCACGTGACGTCCAGAGCTCTATTGTGCCTTATTTTGTAAGTATACTGGAACATTCAGTGTTGTTTCACACAGTTTGGTGACCTAATGGTCGGGACAAATAGTTTTACCTTTTTTTTCTCCAATCGGTAGATCATCAGTCACACAGCCCCCAAACGCCAATATTTCAGTCTAAAACGCAACATTTAACTAATTCTTGTACGCCTGCAACACTCGCCGGCGAAAACCCTGGATGAGGTGTGATCGTGTGCTGATGACGGGCCTCTAACCTCGTGTCTGAATGCGAAAGTTGATCTTGCTCTCAGATGGATGGGTGATGGTGTAGCCGCAGAACTCCACATCTGGGCTGACAAAAAGGAAAACAGGAAGATCAAAGTGACACGTGTGAACATTATGATGGTTTTGCTTAGTGTGCATGTTTGTGGAACCAAAACTGTGGGAACACATCACGCAGCAGAGCAAATATCATGAGACGACACAGAAGGAAGTACGGTCTCTCAGTAGGTGAGTGTAAAAAGCACATTCATGGTATGCAGGCAGTCCCCCGGGGTTCAATGTCACAGTTCTGGACATGATAAAAATGTGATGTTAAATGTACCAAACCACACCAGATCCCGCCGTGTCCCTGTTTCAGCTCAAATGTTAAAGCTGTGTTTGGAAATCTGGGACGGGTTAAAGATGGTTTTCAAAGCACGTGAAGTCCCATCATTCTAGCTCACAAGTGGAAAACTGAAGAAAGCTGACAATCTCCCCAAGAGCTAACGTCCCAACAAAATAAACAAAAGCAAATTGTGCAAAGTTCAGTGTTGGGTATTTTTATAAATGTACCTTTTTGAGACCTAAAAGATGCCCATTACACATCATGAATCTGTGTTGGCTGTTCATAAAAAGGTTGAGCAACGATGTTAATTGAGAGAACTCTGTACCTCTGTAATTTGAGAAGGTCCGCCTTCTCCCCCCATCCATTTGGTGAATAAAGCCCCTGAAGAACTAGGAGCACACGGGAGTGACGTGGGGGAAGCCTCGGAGGAGGTTTCTCTGCGTTAACTCTCCATGCATTTGGAGACTCAGGGTAAAATGTCTTCCTTGTTGTCATGTGTGTTTATTTCAGGTTCCAGGGTTATGGAGGTTAAATATTATCTACCAGATAATTGAAGAATGCAGGTATACAGAGCAGGTGAGGAGAAAGCTTTGAAGGCTGAAGCAGAGTGGGGGCTGGTTGAGCCACACACAGGGACATTACAAATAATCAATTTACTCTCTCTCTCTATCAAAGGGTGTGTCGTCCTTTACGGTAATATGGGATAAAATCAAATTACCTAACATTCAGAAAACTGAAGAGCTCCTTTTCAGACTCCACAGGGTCAGTTAGCAGGTTAAAGCTCATGACAGGACTAATGCACACTGAACAAATACTAGGTATGGAAGTGCAGCACAGTGTAGGTCTGCAATGTTTCATTCAACCAGATGAGACCAACTTAGATTTACCCATAATGCACGGCTCCATATTTGGAGAACTGCTGGCAGCTACTGCTCAGAAAAGGCTGATGGCAGCGAGGCAGAACACATCTGGATAAGTACAGATGAGTGTGGTTGACTCCACCCCCTGGTCAATCCGTGATGACAATCTTCTGACAGTTTTTGGACCAGCTCAGCACGCTTGGAGCCACCTTGAATCTGGTTCTAAAAAGGGGCAGCAACTAAGTTCCCATCACTGGTAAAAATGACTCAGAACTCTGCAGAGCCTCAGAGAGCCATTAGAGCTAAACGTTAATGTCTGTAAACCTCAACAACCTGGAGCATTAGGCGTGTTTCTGTTGTCTGAACTTCAGGGTAAGCTGACCGGGAGATACGCTAGCCTGGTCCACACAGCTCTTGAGTCTCCATACAAATGCAGCCCTTTCAGGACGCTGCACAGACGTCAGCATACTGGCCGCGAGTGATACCACATCTGCTGACGTTACAACCAATCAGCGCGAGTTAACCAAAAGTTCTGCTCAGCTGTTCCGCCGGGCCTCTGCGAGTACCTAGCCCTGTTCAGGTACTTCGGAAGTTCCTGAAAATGGCCGTGTAAGCGGTCCGTTTGGCCGGTGTCGGTACAGTATCGGCTCGGGTGCAAGATCGGCTCGGGGTCCTTCGACTGCCGATGACGTCAAAGTACGGCAAACCCACTCGGACAAAATACACTACACAGCTATACTGTTGGAAAGAATTTAGCAGTTTCGTTATTAAAATAATGTTTCTTAAGACGTAAGTTTGTGTTTATAATAGTATTTGTAAAATAAAACACTATATTTGATTCATGTTGAACTCCTCTTTGAGCACATCCCTTGAAGGATCATAGGTATTAGCAACACCTGCGAAATTGTACAGGTGCTGGCCAGTAAATTAGAATATCATCAAAAGGTTGAAAATATTTCAGTAATTCCATTCAAAACGTGAAACTTGTACATTATATTCATGCAATGCACACAGACCAATGTATTTCCAATGTTCATTACATTTAAATTTGATATTCATAAGTGACAACTAATGAAAACTCCAAATTTGGTATCTCAAAAAATTAGAATATTCTGAAAAGGCTGAATATAGAAGACACCTGCTGCCACTCTAATCAGCTGATTTACTCAAAACACCTGCAAAGGCCTTTAAAAGGTCCCTCAGTCTTGTTTTGAAGGCACCACAATCATGGGGAAGACTTCTGACTTAACAGCTGTCCAAAAGACAATCATTGACACCTTGCACAAGGAGGGCAAGACACAAAAGGTGATTGCTAAAGAAGCTGGCTGTTCGCAGAGCTCTGTGTCCAAGCACATTAACAGACAGGCGAAGGGACGGAAAAAATGTGGTAGAAAAAAGTGTACAAGCTCTAGGGATAACCGCACCCTGCAGAGAATTGTGACGACAAACCCATTCAAAAATGTGGGGGAGATCCACAAAGAGTGGACTGCAGCTGGAGTCAGCGCTTCAAGAACCACCACGAGGAGACTCATGAAAGACATGGGATTCAGGTGTCGCATTCCGTGTGTCAAGCCACTCTTGAACATGAAACAGCGCAAGAAGCGTCTCGCCTGGGCCAAGGACAAAAAGGACTGGACTGATGCTGAGTGGTCCAAAGTTATGTTTTCTGATGAAAGCAAGTTCTGCATTTCCTTTGGAAATCAAGGACCCAGAGTCTGGAGGAAGAGCGGAGAAGCACAGAATCCACGTTGCATGAGGTCCAGTGTAAAGTTTCCACCGTCAGTGATGGTGTGGGGTGCCATGTCATCTGCCGGTGTTGGCCCACTCTGTTTCCTGAGGTCCAGGGTCAATGCAGCCGTCTACCAGGAAGTTTTAGAGCACTTCATGCTTCCTGCTGCTGACCAACTTTATGGGGATGCAGACTTCACCTTTCAACAGGACTTGGCACCTGCACACAGTGCCAAAACCACCAGCACCTGGTTCAAGGACCATGGTATCCCTGTCCTTGATTGGCCAGCAAACTCGCCTGACCTTAACCCCATAGAAAATCTATGGGGTATTGTGAAGCGGAGGATGCAATACGCTAGACCCAACAATGCAGAGGAGCTGAAGACGACTATCAGAGCAACCTGGGCTCTCATAACACCTGAGCAGTGCCACAGACTGATCGAGTCCATGCCACGCCGCATTACTGCAGTTATTGAGGCAAAAGGAGCCCCGACTAAGTATTGAGTGCTATACATGCACATTCTTTTCATGTTCATTCTTTTCAGTTGGCCAACATTAGAGAAACAAACATTTTTTCATTGGCCTTTAGAATATTCTAATTGTCTGAGATACCAGATTTGATGTTTTCATTGGTTGTCACCTATAAATATCAAAATTAAACGTAATAAACATCGGAAATACATTGGTCTGTGTGCATTGCATGAATATAATGTACAAGTTTCACGTTTTGAATGGAATTACTGAAATATTTTCAACCTTTTGATGATATTCTAATTTACTGGCCAGCACCTGTATTTGCAGGAAAGAAGTGTGTCCCGTTTATTGAAGTATTTTGTGTTCAGAGTTTTTGACGTCTTGTCCATGAGTAGTTCAGGTACGCTCATAGCTGCTAGCCAAAGCTATGGAGTTAAAAGTTTTCTGGCTTTACTAAAATACCTGTCTGTACTTATTTGATTGATGGTAGTTTTACTTTCTATTAGACTCCAAATGTAATCATTTGGCACGTTTCTAATTCATAATTTGTAATAATGTAATTGGCGATATTAGCATTAGCATTCCTATAGGTTTTTCCATGTATATTAGCATTGCGCTAACCACTCGCTGCCAAATTGCAGCCTTTGCCATTAGAAAATCTCCTTTTGTCACATCGCAATTTAATTGCACATGCAGTTAATCGTTCAGCCCTAATATACTTGCAGCTCTATGCTAAAAGTGTATTTTCAAAGAGGTAATGATGGATTTCTTTGTAAAAGTTGTCCATCTTTCCAATAGAAAAAATTTGCCTGGACCAACGTCACGTGATTACGTAATTCCGTAAGGTTCATGTTCAGCCAATCAACTACTTAGACGTCATCGGCAGTCGACGGACCCGAGCCAATTTTGCACCCGAGCAGATCTTGTACCGACACCGGCCCAGTAAAGTGAAGACTCACGCATGCCGGAAAGTTCCGGTAAAATCTCCCTGAAGTTCTGACAGTGGACACAGGCCTATAGTTGTAAAAGAGTGGATCAGAACTCCTCCAGAGCCAGAAGAGAGACTAGTCACATCAAACACAAGACCACTGCAAGCTCCAGCTGTTAAGGGAGGCTCTACAAGCTGGAAACAAAAACGTGGACTTTGCATTGTAGCTTTGTTTTTGTTCTACAAAGATATGAAAGATTCTTGCGCATGTTTTTGTGCACTTGAGACTGAATAACCTTAGAACCTGATAAATACCAGCTCACTTTTATTATGTGGGCTTTTAACCACAGCTGTGGGGTTAAGGGGGCAGAGGTCATGACCTATTTATGGTAAATTCAAAGATAAAAGCAAAGACAAAACACTGACTTCTTCATGATCATGTATCTAAGGGAGTTGCCCAGTGTGTGATCTTCATCGTGCATCACAAACGTCACGCAGCCCTCATCGGCCCCGTCAGCCTGCACCTTAAACACAGAAGAAGCAGTCATTTAAGCATCACACACACTAATTCACATCCCTTTCATCTCATTCCACAGACAATTCTTCCCGTTTACCATTCTGGACAATGACGTATTCTGTTCGGTGGTGTTGAGTACTTCTAAGTCCCGTGAGCTGCTTTCAGTACTTTTTGCTGATAACGGATTAAACTGGGATCAAATGGGCTGAAAAGTTGCTTCAGCCTTTAGCGTATGTTTAACTCACACTTATCTAAAGAACAGTGACTACAGCTAACTGCCCTGATGAAAATTATGTTCTTTCCAGACAAAATCAAAATAAACATCTAAATAAGCCGGTAGAAACAAAATCATTTGTGCAAATTATCTACGATTAAGATGAGATTATGAAAAGAGCGAGGGATGTATGATATATGGGCATCAATGTCAGCCAATGTTAATCTATTTTAACATGTCGGTCCAATAAGTAAAACTGCCCCTGAAGATTCCCGCCCCTACATGGCACTGCATATTCCCGCAGGCTTTCAGCGACAAATGGGGCGTCTACGTATTCATGTCTGTGGTTTGGAGTGCCTACCCCTGAGCAGGTACTAAGAATGTTCCTGAAAACGGCCATTCTGCCGGCCCGGTATCGGGGAGACACACGCATGTCAGGAAGTTCCTGTAAATCTACCCTGAAGTTCTGAATGAAGCTAATGTCTATTAGATTGTTAAGAATCTTTTCTTTGAAAGCTGCTTATAATTGCACTGAGGATAACAAATCATTTATTTTAATGATGCAACGATATGAAAATTTTGGGCCAATACGATATCCGATATTAATATCACTGTTATGGCCGATAACCAACATTTGCCGATAAAGATATACTGACATTAGTGCTACTAAAATCATCCATCGATCCATTTTCATCCGCTTATCCGGAGTCGGGTCGCGGGGGCAGCAGCCTAACCCCGTCTTTCCACAGGAGCCGTCAGCAGCACGTTACTGCAGCAGCACGTCTTGCTCGCGTAAGCTGCTGCTTGGCCCTTCCCACGAGACGCGAAGCAGCAGGGGAGCAGCTGTCACCGACCGAGCACGAAGTCACACGAGTGACTTCGTCAGTAAACACAACAACAAGCAGGAGAAAACTACAACATGACTCCAAAATGTTTGTGTTTTATGTTCTGTCCGTTTTATAATCGCCAATACGGACCTGAAAAACAAAGGAGGCCGCTAGCTAGGTGATAACTTCTTACGGGGCCGCAAAGTTAGTAACCTTTTTTAAAAGTAAAGCAACCGGAAGGCAGTACGTTCTTTATTCTGAAAATCTCAGGAGCTTCGCTCCGTTTCCGCATCCGATTTCCTGTCTTTCCTTCCCCAAAAATGTCGAACTTGACCCGTTTCAGAGGCGTTGCGCGTAGAAAATAGAACCGGCGCGCAATGGCCGCGACATGCTGCTCCTGAGACGCGGCTAACACGCGCTGCTGACGGCTCTGGTGGAAAAGTTTGTGTTAACCACAGCGGTTCCTATCAGCAGCTATGACGTGCTGCTGCAGTAACGTGCTGCTGACGGCTCCTGTGGAAAGCTGGGGTAAGGCGAGAGGCCCAGACTTCCCTCTCCCCAGCCACTTGGGCCAGCTCCTCCAGGGGAATCCCAATGCGTTCCCTGGCCAGGTGAGAGACATAGTCCCTCCACCGTGTCCTGGGTCTACCTTTGGGTCTCCTCCCGGTTAGACGTGCCTGGAAAACCTCACCAGGGAGGCGTCCAGGAGGCATCCTGACCAGACGCCCAAGCCACCTCAACTGGCTCCTCTCTAGGGCTGCAACAACGAATCGATAAATTCGATGAAAATCGATTACTAAAAGCGTTGGCAACGAATTGCGTCATCGATTCGTTGTGTTGCGCAATTCTTCCAAAAGCCCCCTCCCCTCCTGCCCGCCGTTGCGCGCAGACCGGTGGAGAGCCGGCAGGTGTTTGTAAGAGGAACATGGCAGAAGCAGCGAGACCCCAAAAAAGTAAAAACTTCTAAAGTTTGGGAGCATTTTCAGTTAAATCAGGCGAAGACATGCAACGTTTGTAGGTCAGACTTAGCATGGCACGGGGATACTACGGTGATGATGCAGCGTCTTAAACGCAAGCATGTCAGAATCATCAGCGAGGAAGGAGAGAGCTCGGTGTCCGGGTAAGTTAAAAACTTTTCAAAAGTGATTCACCCAAGCCCCGGATTATTACACAGGCTAGACATGCCCTAAGCTCGTAAAAAAAAGTCTATAAAATTGTAAGCGCGACGCTATTAGATAAGCGGGGGGGACTCGCGCCGCTGCGAACCGGTTCCGCCGTCACATTCCCGCAGAAACTGGTTGATCACACCGGGGCCAGACTACTAACATGTGGCTTCACAACCACAATGTCCTCACAAGTGAAAACGCTTTTAAAAAGGAGGGAGGAGCCCTAACTGTTGCTGCAGGCGTGTTGTGAGAGTGCAGTTATATACAGGTTAATATATTTTTGGGTTCAGTTGCTTTCATGTGGCCTAATGTGAGTCTATTTGGGATCATTGGAGTGATCAGCAGCATCTCTTGATGTGACTTTATGACAGTTGCCCAGGGCATCATCACAAGGAGGATGGCATTCATTTACTTTTGTTTTATTTGGTATTTTTCAGTCATTTTTGGAAATAGTGATTAATTCACAGCCTATGTTTAATTACATTTAAAAATTAGTTATTTGACATCCCCAATTATAATAAATGTCTACAGATGAGATCAAACAAAACAGATGAGAATTGCCCTTAAAGAGCAAGTCACACCCAAATAACCTTTTTTTTGCTGATAAACTAAATAAACGAGTGTCTAATCGTGCTGCAGACACGTGTCGTCAATAATTTGGCACTTCAGTGCATCTTAGTTAAAATTTAAATATGCTGCCTAACACTGGCAGTGTTGTGCCGTTGCCAGGTAAAAACTCTGCACTGTATTTTAATTTAAATCTGCCACCACTATTGCCTAAGAAGTATGCTATGATGTAAACTGGTACATTATGATGTCACAATGCTGTCGTGAGCCTGAGTGTATGTGTATTTGTTAGCGGCTCCGCCCTCTCGGTCTGCCAGGCAACAGCATGTGTTGCATTTTTCAAACATGAAGCGGGAGTGGAGTTAGACTCTGGTAGGGGTTGACTTGCTCTTTAAGCTGTTTAACTTGGACCAAGCATTTTAGGTCACAGATAGGTGTAGCTTAGGGTCTCTGACCTTATAAGACAATTTAGGTGATGGCATGTTGGTTTTCTGCTATTGAACTGTTTTCTAATAATGTTGTGTTTAATAAAGTGAAGGAAGGAGAAAAATAACGTTTCCCTAGCAGTTTTAAAAAATGTCCCTATGTAATCCGATTAATCGATTAATCGTGTCGAGACCCCATCCGATTAATCGATTATCCAAATAATCGTTTGTTGCAGCCCTACTCCTCTCGATGTGGAGGAGCAGCGGGTCTACTCCGAGCCCCTCCCAAATGACCGAGCTTCTCACCCTATCTCTAAGGGAAAGCCCCGCCACCCTTTGGAGAAAGCTCATTTCGGCCGCTTGTATACGCAATCTCGTTCTTTTGGTCACTACCCAAAGCTCATGACCATAGGTGAGGGTAGGAACGTAGATCAACCGGTAAATCGAGAGCTTCGCCTTCGGACTCAGCTCTCTCTTCACCATGACAGACCGGTACAACGCCCCCATCACTGCAGTTGCAGCATCAATCCACCTATCGATCTCACGCTCCAGTTTTCCCTCACTCGTGAACAAGACCCCGAGATACTTAAACTCCTCCACTTGGGGCAGGACCTCATCCCTGACCCGGAGAAGGAATTCCACCCTTTTCCGAATCACGACCATGGTCTCAGATTTAGAGGATCTGATTCTCATCCCAGCTGCTTCACACTCGGCTGCGAGCAGCTCCAGCGAAAGCTGAAGATCACGTTCTGATGAAGCCAACAGGACCACATCATCTGCAAAAAGCAGAGACCTGATCCTCAGGCCACCAAAACGGATGCCCTCCACACCTTGGCTGCACCTAGAAATCCTGTCCATAAAGGTTATGAACAGAATCGGTGACAAAGAGCAGCCTTGGCCGAGTCCAACTCTCACTGGGAACGAGCCCGACTTACTGCCGGCAATGCAGACCAAGCTCTGACACCGGTCATACAGGGACCTAACAGCCCGTATCAGAGGGCCTGGTACCCCATACTCCCAGAGTACCCCCCACAGGGCCCCCGAGGGACATGGTCAAACGCCTTCTCCAAATCCACGAAACACATGTAGACTGGTTGGGCAAATTCCCACGCAACCTCCAGAATCCCCCTAAGGGTATAGAGCTGGTCCAGTGTTCCACGGCCAGGACGAAAACAACATTGCTCCTCCTGAATACCAGGAAGGCTCAGGAGTGTGATCCCCCTGTAGTTGGAACACACCCTGCAGTCCCCCTTTTTAAATAAGGGGACCGCCACCTCGGTCTGCCAGTCCAATGGGACTGCCCCCGATGTCCACGCGATAATGCAGAGCCGCGTCAGCCAACACAGCCTCACAACTTCCAGAGCCATAAGGAACTCCGGGCGGATATCATCCACCCCTGGAGCCTTGCCACAGAGGAGCTTTTTAACTACCTCAGTGATCTCAGCACCAGAGATTTGAGAGGCCAACCCAAAGTCCCCAGACTCTGCTACCTCACTGGAAGACGTGTCGGTGGGATTGAGGAGGTCTTCGAAGTATTTTGCCCACCGATCCACAATGTCCTGAGTAGAGGTCAGCTGCACACCATCCCCACTATAGATAGTGTTGGTAGTGCACTGCTTCCCCCCCCTCAGGCGCCGGATGGTGGACAAGAATCTCCTCGAAGCCGTACAGAAGTCTTGCTCCATAGTCTCATTGAACTCCTCCCATGCCCAGGTTTTTGTCTTGGCGACCAACCGAGCCGCGTTCCGCTTGGACGGTCTGTACCCGTCAGCTGCCTCTGGAGTCCCACAAGCCAAAAAGACCTGATA